GAGGCGTCGCGCCTGGCGCACTACAACAAGCGCTCCACCATCACCTCGCGCGAGATCCAGACGGCCGTGCGCCTCCTGCTGCCTGGTGAGCTGGCCAAGCACGCCGTCTCCGAGGGCACCAAGGCCGTCACCAAGTACACCAGCTCCAAGTAGTGGCGGCGGCGGCGGCGGAGAGTAGAGCGCGAGCAGCGCGGACCCAACGGCTCTTTTCAGAGCCACGCACTGCTTCGGAAAGGCTGCATTCACTGTGGGTAAAAGGTGCCTGCCAGGTACCTTGCCCGGTTTCGATTCGCGCACTATTTTGCTGTAAAAGCATCTGAAATACGGTGCTCGGGATATGGTAAGAGGTACCTGTACGTGCCTAGAAGCGTTTCGTAGTGAAGGGGTTAAAGAATAAATAGGGATAATGTTAAAAGTATCTGAACAAACGAGGTGAAGACATGCTTTCTGGGATTATTGTAGAATTGGATTTTTTTTTTTTTGAGGAATCTTATTTAAGCAGGAATGAGTAAAGGACGGTGACCCCCTTGTTTTTTCACGGAGGTTTGGCTAGTAGTGTAGGGTGCAAGACTGCGGAGTTAATAGCTGCCAATTATTTCTACAACACTCATAGCTGGAACACTGGGTATGTTTGTCATTTGCCTTTTTTCAGACTTGCTTCTCTGAACTTCCGGAAATCCGCTAGTGATAAACCCAAAACCACTCTCACCAGGCCAGCCTGCCCTCTTGCTTCTAAATACCACATTTAAAATGTCTTCAAATGCCGGTCTTCATTGGCTGGGAATTACTGCGGCTTCTAGATCTTGACGACACGCATCCCAGTCCCTGCGTGGTTCTATGGTGTAATGGGTTAGCACTCTGGACTCTGAATCCAGCGATCTGAGTTCAAATCTCAGTAGAACCAACTTTGCTTATTTCCATTCAGGGGATTTTTTTTTAAAATGAAGATTCATTACCCAAATATCAGTCACTTTGTTTTAGATCTATATTTGTGTTCCTCCTCCATTCTACTGTTTGGAGATTGCTAATTCCAATTCCTGATCTGAGAAACTGGAAAGACAGGGAGGATAGCTAGTATAGTCCTTCACTATCAATATTCCATGCAATTTTCAATTAATTCTGATTAACTCCTCAGGTTAATCGATATTACTTGGGTTATAACTGGGATCTATTACAGTCAAAGCAGGACATCTTGCCTCACCTTAAACTGTAAGCAAATGTATTAACACATCTGTTAGGGCACAAATTCCATGTGGGTTTAGATAAGGGAAAAAAAGTCACACAGCAGGCCTAAGATTGTACCCTTCAGTCTCCTTAGCCACTGTGGTATAGCAGGACTGGGACTGGGGCAGTCTATGGAGCCAACCGGGTGACTATGGGCCCGTGACAGTGCTCTCAGCCCAGCCTACCTCACAGGGTTGTTGTGTGAAGAGTTTGCTTGATCTGGTATTTTACCAGGCACCTATTAGTGCATTTCTAAACAAGCATCTTAGCAAGAATATTTTTAAATACTCTCAAATACAAAAATACATATTTAAAAACACTCCCTTCCAAACATAAGCGGGATTGAAAAGCACAGGTTACATGAACAAAATAAACTGCTCACATATCTACTCCAGCAACATTAAAGCATGACACCCCTCCCATTGATAGGTTTCTACCTAGTGCAATACCCAAAACTGATTGCCGCTTTTGCCAGTATTAAAGCACACACATGCTATAATTCTCTACCTAACAACCAATCCTTCAGTTTTTCTTAAGGTTGGAGACAGTTCCTGGAAACTATTGGATTTTATTTTATTTGTTAAAGGATCTTTTCCATGGCATTTTTTGTTTGTTTAATCTCTGCATCCTGGGGTGTAACTGGACTCTTCCACAGCGCTTGCTTACCTTCCCACCTGACTAACCTGGAAGCCGTTTGCTGTTCTCCGGCATCTAGTTTGATCCAAACAAAGCTATTGCCCTACTTTTGGAATCCTTTTTGCATTGGCAATAGTTGTGGCAGCTAAACCTGTTGCAGTATATTGCTTTTTAATAGTTGTCTTAAAATTGTGAAACAGTACTTTAGGAACTTTTTAAAAACATTTTATGTATGCTACCATTGGGGGCTTTGCCTTTAAAATACTGTAATAAAAGCCTGAAAATATATGCAATAAAAATCAGTATTCTGATGGTGCTGCCCCAGTCTGACAGTGTAAAATTTAAATTTAAAAGTGCTGTACCACATCGCGTTCAACGTATTGCAATTTTATTTCGTAATTCAAAGGGTATATACTTTTATTTATTTAAACAACTTGTATGCCGCCCCATCGCATGAGCCTCGGGGCGGCTTACAATCATTAAAATCCCATATAAAATACAAAAAAAATCATCAAATAAAATACAAAAAATAAAATACATTCCCGGCAATTTATTTCTAAGAAATAAGGGATGTTATTGGAAGCCGTAAGGCCCCGCGTACGTTGATTGGGCAGCTGGAGTGTCATTCTTCGGTCCCAAAGGAGGCACTTAGGCGGGATAGGTGGATTTTGATTGGTGGATGGAAAAGAAAGGCGCGAAAAAGGGACTTTTGCAAGTTCCCCCTCTGGTCGGATCCTCTGCTATAAAAGCCCGAGCGCGATGCGTGTGTGTTCTCACTCGGGTGATCTCCAGAGACTGTGTAGCATCGCCATGTCTGGTCGCGGGAAAGGCGGGAAGGGCCTGGGCAAAGGAGG